TCAATTAACACCCTAAGTCTTCGTGCCACCGAGGACTGGGTGCACCAAAAGCAGGAAGGGGAGACGAAAATTGTTACCGTTATTACTTTCGAGATTTTCTCACGTGAGGTTTCTGAAGTTTCGTTTACCTTTTCTTCCATTTTATTCTTGACGGCAACATTTTATTCTTGACGGCAACCCTTCCCAATTTCTAACCAGATCTCTTCTATGCCGTACCTCCATTCCCCATTCCACCCACTCCCTCATCCCACCAGTCTCACCTAATTCATTTTTACATTTCTTTTTTTTTTTTGGCTTAAATTAGCTGAAATTGTTGGTTCATTGGTGAAAGTGAAACTAGATATGAAGTTGGATCCAATTCAATCAGAGATTGAGTAAATATCTATGTTGAATCGGAGTGCGTATAACAACAGAAATTCAATCTATTGACAAATTTAATTGAAACTCTACGGCCAGTTTGTGGGTTGCTATGTTATGAATTATGATATAGTAAGTGTAATTAATTACATTGCACACATGTAAAGCGGGCATTTGGTCTAGTGGTATGATTCTCGCTTTGGGTGCGAGAGGTCCCGAGTTCGATTCTCGGAATGCCCCCTGTTATTGAGTTTTAATTTTCTTTGGGCTGGACCTCCATGTATAGTGAAACCAAAGTAAAAAAGAAAAAGGAAAATTAATAAAAGAGTAAAAGACAGATTTAAAGGATATATTTACGAATCTACCAATCTACCCCTTATCCTTTCTGCTTCGCGTTTTTCCAATCCGTTCCTCTTTCCCAATCTCTCTCTCTCTGGTGCAAAATGGCTTCGACATTACCCACTGTCACCCTCCATTCACCGTCCTATGCTACACCCTCATCCACCCCTTGTCCTAAGCACCCCTCAGTCTCTTTTCCGACGCAAACTAACCAGTTCCAGCTCCAAACCCCGAAACCCCTCAACCGTCGCGCCGTCCATCTCCGCCCTCTCGCTGCTGTCGACGCCCCCGAGAAAATCGTCCAAATCGGCGACGAAATCTCCAATCTAACCCTCGCAGACGCCCAAAAGCTCGTTGAGTACCTCCAAGACAAGCTCGGCGTCTCCGCCGCATCCTTTGCACCAGTCGCAGCCATCGCAGCCCCCGGAGCCGCCGAAGCTCCCGCCGCAGTCGAGGAGAAGACGGAATTCGATGTAGTTATCGAGGACGTGCCGAGCAATGCCCGTATCGCGACGATCAAAGCCGTTAGGGCTTTGACGAGCTTGGCTTTGAAAGAGGCCAAAGAATTGATTGAGGGATTACCGAAGAAGTTTAAGGAGGGAGTGTCGAAAGACGAGGCGGAGGAGGCGAAGAAACAGCTCGAAGCAGCTGGAGCGAAAATCGCCATTGTGTAGATTTGATTTGAATTATGGTAAATTGTCCTTAATTTGGTGTACTTTATGAGAAAATTACCAACAATGGGGTGTTCCTTTACTTTTGAGAAAATTCACATTTTTCATGTGCTTCTTGTCGCATTTTATGCCAACAAACAGCAATGGCACTTGTATTAGATGATATGGATTTGTCTTGGAGGTGTTTCTATTCAACTTCTTTTTAACTTGTACCTCAGATGTAGCCTAGAGGTCTAGAAATTTAGCCTGTGGCCATTGAGAAGCTGAACAGTTGCATTGCATCTTCGGTTCTTTCTCATACTTTTGTCCTTTAAAATGGTTGAAAAGGATTCGTTTCTTCTTGTATGCAGGAAGATGAGAAGGAAAAAGCATAGCTAGTAACAAAAGCATAGACATTGGAACTCAATCTTCTACTTGGAGAGTTTCTTATCACAAGCCCCATCAAATACCCCTTCCACTACCATATACACGTGAGATAATTGCTAGTACATAGCCCAAATCCATCAAGGAAATGGTGAATTCTCCATTGAAAGGTGCCTCATATACGTTTGAGCCACAAACCAAGTGCATGGCATGATAAAGAAGCCCTACTTACCAGAAACATATCTATGCAGGGAAAAAAGAGACGGGAATAAACTGTAAAAGAACAATGTATGAAAAGGTTCCACGCATTTATCTACCGGCAGAATTTCGTAAAGTCTATGACAGAATAACAAATATCAAGTTGATGTGAAGCACATTGCTAGAAGAATCAATCATCAACAGGGTCCTGAGGAGTCTCATGGGCACGGCGCTTAATTGTGATGACAGGACACTCAGCATGCTTGACACAAAATTCACTCACAGTTCCCACAAAAACCCTGCAAAATATCCAACAAGCCGCATCCTGTCAGTCTTTGGAACATAATTTTAAGCAAGTATGTAAGCTCAGTCAAAATGGCTAGCTTCCGCTGCAACCAGTAAGATTATAAAAAGAACTTGAATCATGCCATCCTTGACTACAATGCTGGTAAGAAATAGGTATCAATCACCGTGCACATCAATATTCTCTATGAAATGAATGCAAAATCTAAACATACCTCTGGAAAGGACCTAGACCTCGGCTTCCTACCAATAGAAGATCAGGTTGGACTCGTCTCACCTCATGGCAAATAACTTCCTTGGGATCACCTTTCTTGATCCATGCTTCACATGCGACCTACAGGCACTCCAATATAAGAATAAACTTAGGCAGTTTAATCAAATACGGTGGAGAAATTTATTTGAGCCTCAGTTTTCTAATTGTAGGCAAATTGCAGTGTGACAAACAAAAAATAACTAGAAGTCGGGCGGGTGTGGTAGAGAAGGAGAAGAGGGGTGGAAGCGGAAGTGGAAGCCTCTAAAAAAACTTTTTCATACCCCAATCTCATTACATCTGTTTACAAAGTACTCCAGCAGATGAATACCCCTTATTTTGTCCCTGTGCTTCATACTCTTAAAATCATCAGGAGATGCATATATACTGTCCATGTCATCAAACCCTAGCAATAACATGTCAGAAGAGAAATGCCATCAGCTAGTGACTTCATAATCAAAAATAAAAGGGGAAACAACTACAGTTTTGGGAATAAAGAGAACTGTCTGCCCCCCACACATGCACGCGGCCAGGGATGGGGAGTGAAAGAGTTACCAGTAAGCAGGCAAGATGGAAAGGGAATGGAAGCAATGTGAAGTAGACCGCCAATGCCTAAGACTAAAGCTGAAAATTCCATGTAAGTGTTTGTCTCGAATACCAGAAAGCAATGTGGGAAATCAAAATTTCAAGGCCCTCCCAGAAAAAGGAAACGGCCAATTCTGTAATGAATCGTTCTCAAGAAATAGGCTAGTAAAATAAGCTAAAAATGATAGCATAAAAGATCCATCAATTAAAACCCTTTTGCCTAACCTTTCAATGGTTTTGTTTCCAAATCATCAAGTAATCATTTAACAATTTTATACGTACTTAAGATTGTCTCAATGATGGTATACTCAAAAGCAACACTGCTAGAACCTTGTAATAAGTTGGGTGCAAGTGTCCAGGAGATAGATGCTTTGTAACCTCTACACTTCATAACAAAATAGTTAGAGCTAAATCGCAAGATTCCAACGTCTCTTCAACCTTTATGTCAGTCAAACAGAATGCCTAAATAATAAAGTCAGACCAAAAAAATATTATTATTATTATTAATAATAATAAAACAATCTCAAAGGTGTATTAAAGAATTTCCAAATGAGTTGGCATGTGATTCTCCTTCCATCAGAAGGAGGTTGTGTTCAGCAAGAGTAAACCAGACATTCTCAAGTTGAAGGTGTATACCAATCAACATTACTGTGACATGTTATGGAAAAAGACATGATTAATCCACTTTATCCATTCATTGTTCAGACCAGATGAAACTCAATCACAAGCAACGCGGTATACACAACTTTATCCATTCATTATTTGGACAAGATGAAACTCAATGACAAGCAACGTGGTACACACAATTTCATATATGCTATGACACATCTTATCCTTGAAACCAATCAAGATAACTATAAGATATTCATTCGGATGATTAAGACTCATTCTGTTAATGATCAACATACAGGAGGAAATATACACACATACATATGTATTACATACACATTACACACACAATATTAGAAAAATGGTTATGTTGGAGCCTTACACTAATAAAGATCAATATAACAAAAGCATCTATTTAATACACACTTCTTCCCTGGCACAACCCCAAGATGCATATAAATTTGTCCACATCACATTTCTCACGGAAAGAAATTTGGATTCTGCATAATGGTTAAAATGAAAACCGCACATACAAAATGCAAGGTTATTAACAAAACCCCCACACATCTCAGAACAAATTCAACCAATCATCTTCACTCTGCTTAGGGCCATTAAGACTGTAATTTGTTTGCATAAATAGGCAGAAACTCAAATCATATATATACACTCCCACCTGGTAAGAACTATATCAGCTATAATTTCCCAAACGGTGTCATCCACATACGTGCATATGTACAAACACACAGGATAGATGTTCGAGAAAAAAGATTCAACTTATAAATCTTGCTACTGCTTATAGATGTGCATCGTATCACTACGGAAGCTGTTTCACTAGTTATAAAGTTAACTATAAAATTTCTATGAATTTCACAATCTATAGTGGTCCCTCTGCTCAGGTATTAGGCATTAATCACAAATAATTCGAGCTTCCGTGCAATTGCAATAGCATTCAATCATTTCCTCAAAATAGAAACCCACAAATCAGCTGGGGAAACCTAGTTTACAAACCCTAATCAAACGATTGCATCCTCGAGAACACACGTGCACATGATTGCGCGTATATATTCCCAAGTGAACACATATAAAATATACAGACATATATGTAGAGAGAGAGAGAGAGAGAGAGAGAGAGAACCATCTTCGTCAGGAACTTGGACATGAAGGAAGAGAAGCTTGAAATCTCTAGTGTTGGAGCGGATGATCTTCTCCACAGTCCACTCAAAAGCTCCTTTGCTGCTTATCGAAGCATTTGGATACCCATTGATCGTCGACTCGTTCACTCCGACCATTATGCGAGTCGGCTCACGCCGCTGACCCTCCATAACCTTTACTCTCTCTCTACTCAGCTCTGTCTAGTCTCAACTACTTCTTTCGAACGCTCTGGACGAATGGGAAGTGTGTGGA